CCGGAAGTGGCGCTGTAGCTCAAGTGGTAGAGCGCTCGCCTTGAGCTGAAGAGCTGAGGGACAGCGCCCAGGCCCAGAGTTCAAGCCCCACGAACGACCAAAAAAAAAGAAAGGCTGGAGGTGTGGTACCATAGTAGAACACTTGATTAGCAAGTGTAAGGTCCTGAATTCAAACCACAAGAGAGCCAAAAATAATAAGTAAATAAATAAATAAAGTAAATGAAAGTAGATTAATTTAAGGAGATAAGACATCTTTAATGGAAAGCATATTTGGAGAAATAACTTTTATTTTTGGTTTTGGATTTTTTGTCCCTTTTTTTTTTTTTTTGTCGATCATGGGGCTTGGGCGCTGTCCCTCAGCTCTTCAGCTCAAGGTGAGCGCTCAACCTCTTGAGCCACAGCGCCACTTCCGGTTTTCTATTGGAGATGAGTCTCATGGACTTTCCTGCCTGGGCTGGCTTTGAACCGAGATCCTCTGATCTCAGTCTCCTGAGTAGCTAGGATTACAGGCGTGAGCCACCGGCGCTCGGCGGATTTTTTGTTCTTATTTTGTGTCCTTTTTTTTTGTTTTTGGATTTTTTGTTCTTACTTAGTTCCCTTGCTGAATTAAAACTTCTTTGAATGCAGAGGTAGCAGTGTAGTCTGCTGCTCACCAGGCACCAGGCTGATTTATATATTATTCATTTAATCTTCCCCAGGCTCCCACCAGATGTAAACTATTATTGTCACAATTTTCCAGAGGAAGAGGCCTTGGATTTAAGCGTCTTATCCCAAATGACACTGGGTTCTATGTCACAGTACTAAGGCAGGCTCCCCACCTCCGGAGCTTCTGTCCCATCCACAAGAACCTAGCACTGTCCTCCACACTGACCGGGAGCTGGCACAAAAAGAGTGGATCATCAAGAACTCTAGACCCAAGGGTATGGCTAAATATAGGAGAGCGCCAGCCTAGCAAGCCTGAGGCCTGGGTCCAAACTCCATTACTGACAAAGCAAAAGCAAACCAAAAAAGTACTTTTAACCCGGCCACCGGGGGCTCACACCTCTAATCCTAGTCACTCAGAAGACTGAGATATGAAGATCGCAGTTCGATGCCAGCTGGGGCAGGAAAGGCAGGAGATTCTTATTTCAAATTAAGCATCAAAAAGCTGGAAATAGAGCTATAGCTCCTGTGGTAGAGTGCCATCCTTGAGTGGGAAGAGCTCAAGAACAGCAGCCAGGTCCTGTGTTCACGTCCCAGCACACACACACACACACACACACACTCACACCCCACACGTACCTTTAATATTTTTAATGCCCAGAGGCAGGGTCCCGAGTGAGAAGGGAGGACGTGGTGTTTAAGAGGGAAGCAGCGGGTTCGGGACACAGAGCCGGCCCGGGGGATTTCTGGGACTACTTAGCACAGGAAGGAAACCAGAAGATTAAAAAGAAATCAATTAGAAGACTGTTACCCGGCTTGTTAAAGAGGAGCATGCTAGTGAGATAGTTCAGCACATCCATGATCCGATGTTTTTCCAAATACTCCTTAGCTTGAAGCTCCCGGCTGCTGACCGACTCCATGGCTGGGTGATGGGACGTTGCTAGGCGACGGGGGGGGCGTCCTGGGCGTTTGGCCCCGCCTCCTTGGTTCCGGCATGGTCACGTGACGCGCCGCTCGGGCAGCCACCTGGGCCCTGGAGTCCCTGGTTCCCTCGCTCCCAGCTGAGGCTGAAGGGCTTCGTGAGTCGGGGGGAGGAGATGGAGAGGTGGAGGCGGCGATGGCCGGAGGCTCGCTCTCTCCGGGTGCTTTGTCTTTGCACCTCGCTCTGTAGCTGTTGACCCAAGGAAGAGGCTTGCAGGTCTAGTAACACAGGCCGGAGCGGTGGCCGAGCCGGGCACTTAGGGGTGTGAGGACTCTTTCACTATGAGCCGGCTGCCCGCGGGACGCAGAGTTGGCCTGGATCCTGAGTTTCAAATCTGTGTGCTGTTGAGCTAGACTGTCTTGGCAGACCCATCTGACAGTCGTTTTGAGGGACCGTGGGGCTGCAGGCGGCGAGGAGAGGCCGCTGCTTAGGAATGGAGTACCTAGAAAGAAAAGGCAGAAACAATTCTAGACCAAGATTTCTGTTCTTGCAGTCCAGCTTCTGTTAGCTAGCCTCAACAGGAAAGCCACTAGCGACTTCCCTAGAGGAGGGGGAATTGAAAAACCTTAATAACAACGGCATGACCCACACCTGGGACTGGTGATTGAGCTAATGACCCTCGCCTCTCTGTGGAGCCCAATCCCAGTGTCGAGGCTAAACTGGGAAGGATAAAGAGGCTCAAATGCTCAGGTGTAGATTGTCCCACACCTTGGACAAACCATTTGGGGGAGGATCCAATTTCTTTCCATCCAGCAATCCCAGTCCCTAACAGCGTTTGACCTTTATCCAGCCACTGGCCTCACCTCTTTCACAAGTCTTGTCAGTGTTTAGGTGAGTGGCTTTATCCAATGTTCCTACCTAATGACTAGAGGTGTATTGAAATGTTTTGCTAAGCCACTTTACTATTAAGGTTCTTTCTTGCCTTCCTGGTTCTTCTGCAGCTCCTGGGGCAATGCTCTAATCTTAAACACTGTTTAGGACTGAGAAACATCTGGGACGTGCTGCAAGCAAAATAATACCTGTAACCTTATTCTTTACCAAAGAGCCTACAACATGGTCAACAAACATGAATGTATTCTGCCTCCCTGACAATCTTGTGAAAAAAAATATATAAAGAAATCCCATTTTATACCAACCAGCGTGATAAAAACTAAGACTTTAGACAAATTAAATGTGATAAAGATGTAGTTCAAGAACACCATCAGCGATCACTGGAGTGTAAACTGGAACATTGGTTTTGGAAAGTAGGTTGGAATTATCTTGGTAATTTAAATGTTTCTTGCTCTGACCTAGAAATTCCATTCCTGGAGCAACTCTTGTGAATGTGCACCATGAGACATACACCAAGAATGTTCTCAGCAGCACTGTGCATCATTGAAATCCCTGGTAACAGCCCAAATGGCATCAAGAGTAGGTGAAATTTTAAAACCTGGTATGTTACACAGTATGTTACACTGAATTTTTTTTTTT